GGCGAAATCTGAGAGGCATATTGCAAAACATATGTTGCTCCTATCTAGTAGGACATACCGAGTAAAGGCAAGATAGTAGATGTATTCTCCCTGCTGTTGATCGATAGATCTTTGAGTCAATGCACTCCTATCTTATATATTGATTTCTTAAATGTAGGTGTCGCCTATGCTTTTGTGAATAAGTAGGCACATTGTCAATTGGGCAAATTTTGTTGAATATCGATGTCAATAGCCTTTTGAAACTCATGTGTATAGAAGAATTTTAGAAAAGTATACTTTATCTTTTCCTATTTGATATAGCCTCTTTTGAGTTGTGTAATTCGAACTACATTGTCTTAATTCGATATTATTGGACTATCTTTTGTTAAATTTAATATGCATGATACTTGGATATGATGTATTCCATAACCACACACATTCTTAGCATGTTTTCTAGGATGCAATAATTTCATTAGGATTTGAAGATGTTGCTATCAAGATTTAATTCAGATATCTACATATATCTATTCTTCCAATTTTTTTGTTAATAAAATAATCAATTTCAATAGAACCTCTCAAGTAATGAAAATTGTGTTTCACACTACTTCAATGACTTTGCATTATTACAAAACTATATCTTACAAAGATATTTATAGAGAAATTATATATGACCGAGAGTAATTTGCAAAATAGGTTAATGTTTCAATTGTACTTGGGCATGGTACATCAGGATCAATAACCTTTCCTCACGATCAAGTGGGGAAAATGATTTTTTTTTTCCACATCTAGTGATCTAATTATCATAGTCAATGTTAGTCGATGTGTTTTATCCATATAAAAATATTTTAATATTTTTCTATATATGAAAATATGTGAACATATAATCCTCTGAAAAATGTTCAATTTGCAACATGGACATATTTGATTTTTCTCAAATCTTTCATGTCAAATTATTTTTTCAATTTGTAGTTTTGTTGAGAACTTTAGGAGTTCATATTAGATTTAAACCATCTACAAGGGCTATTATAACTGCAAATCCACTATTTTTTTTTTTTTTTTTCATTATGAAAACATATGGGCATACATGTTTATTTTTATAACCATCTTTCAACAAAAAATTCCTAAGGTCATTTTCCCACATCCATCACATGAAAATATTTATCCTTACTTTTAAATCTTTTAGAGATTTACTATCCATGGATTTCAAGTGTTTGAACTACACATCTCAACACTTTTTCTTTAATCCGAAAGATTCGATTTTGTCTATAGGGATTCTTTTCATTTTTGGCCAATAGGTTTTGCATTGCATTCTTTGATGGACTTTGCTTCAATATCCTCTCTGACATTAACAATATAAAGTGTTGCAAAAATTTGTCGAAAAATATTTCTTTTGGATTCTATTTATTGGCTTTAGTAACTTATATAACTTTATTGAGATCTCCTTTTTCATATTGATCAAAACCGGGTACGTTACGATGGGCTGTCTTATTATTGAGGTTATGTTAGCGAATATATAATAAAGAACTTTCAGATCTTTAAGCAGTTGAGCCAAAGCAATAATGCAAGAAATTTTATATAGCCATATAAGTTGCTCAAGAATTGCAAGAAAGAATGTTTAGTAGTTCCCACTTCTATGGCTTATTGAGCTTTATGAAACTTCCCTATGGAAGTCAAAAATGGATATGGTAGTCATTGTCAAGTAAACCACTAAATTTGATGCTATTCCTGTAGAAGGACATTATTTTAAATGCTTCATACCCTGCATAAATAACCAAGAAAACAAAATCCGTGTTAATATAGTTTTTCCTGGGAAATTCCATATTATGCAAATGATGGGATAAGAAGTGCATTCAATACAAATCACATTTTTTCCTACGGGAATTCTAGCCTGATGTAGGGAACTTAATCGGAAGACGTAAATGTGTACCAAATTGAAATCATTTCAATTGTGACATAACTACAGTAGCAGTCTAAAAGCAAGATACACACTCACAGAACCACATTACAATCATTTCAGTTGTAACATTACTGCGTTAGCAGATAGAGCAGACCAAACCATTCATCCATATCTATGGGAGAGTTTTTCAGTAGTCCATTTGAGTAAATAAATGCATAATTTAATTATAGCTCTTCAAACATGTCTTAACCTAAGCCAACTAAAACAGTAAACCTGGCTGTAGCATG